TAGGACACCCTCCTGTTGCAGCGTGTACACACACTGTGACAAAAGGGTGTGGTTGAGCCACAACGCCAGCTTTTAGGGTGGCCTTTTGCCACCCCTAAAAGGAACAGCATTTTGCCACTTTTGGGGGGATGGCAAAAGGTTGCCATGGCCTTGATCTACTGCTCCCAGGGGCAGCTCTGTGCCGCCCCTTTAGGCGGGTCTGTAAAGGCCCTATCTCCATCTTCTCAGTATCTCAGGCAGATGTACTTCATAGATCCAGTTCCCAAAGTCTTTTGAATGGAAATTTCAGGAACTGAACCTAGAATCTTGTAAAGTAACTGGTTTGGAACAGAGGAAACTCTAGATAAGATTATTCTTTGAATTCACATAGGATTACTCAAAACTGGCTTCTCTTCTGGATATTAGCTCCTACGGTCAGTGAGTGTCAAGATGATGCAAAGTGTAAAGAGTTCCTTCACTAGACATTTTCATTTGGCAAACATCAACTAATAAATATGAAAAATGTTTCCATCCAAAAAGTAAGCCTACTCCCACCCAGCTGTTTCAGGAGCAGACAATGACATCAAACTGTGTTACATATCTTCAAACAGAAAGTGGGTCATTAGCTAGAGGTGAGTTCAAAGATATTAAATTTTCACAGTGTGTCATATCAGACAATTAATCACAAACAACTTTCCTTTGGGATCATCTATATGGTGTGAGAAATTAAAGGCATCATGCACCATTATATCATATTAAATTTTAAATCTTCCTTGTCTGTATCTCATGTCATTTCTTCCCCACTTCTAACACAGTTACAAAAAATGGCAAGTATTGGATCAGAGCTTTAACTTGGCTTTCAAATCTGTTCTAGAACTGATCTTAGAAGGAATGGAAACTCCCATCAACATATTAGCAATGACATCCTCAAAACTAGGTTGCCAGTCTCCTTAACCTAAAGAAAAATGTACATTTTAAAAGCTCGCTTTTTTTTCAGTGTCCTCACTACCACTTATTCTAGAAACATGTACAGTATTTACTACAGTTCATAACAGCTGGACACAAACTATATCTTTACATAAGAAAATCACATTTAGGTCAAGTCCTTTGCTTTCTACAAGTAACTCCTGCCCTAAATAATTCTAGTATCAATAGACAAGAATTGGGTCAGTACAATACAGTGCCAGCTTAAATGTTCACCAGATTTTGCTGAATGAAGGAGGTCATGCCACAGCCATTTCCTCTGTTCACAACCTCTAGCTAAGGAAGATCTCCTCCCAATTATTTGTCCACTACTGAGATCCTCATGCATGTAATAGTCAAAGTGTAAGGGCTTCTGAAGGTAACTAAAGCACAATTCAGATGACAACTCTGGAAAGAAGGAGTAACCTATCTAGATATGAATAAAAACTAAAATAATGGATTAAAAGCCTACTTTCAAAACATATCCCTTAGTGATCACTAAAACTCATAGTGATGTTTTTTAAAAATAATAATTTGTGGATTGTCAGCTGCATGAGTTAACAAGTGCCTCACTTTGCATAATATTATGGCATATTTGTCACAAGCAAAAATAACAGATAAACAAGATCATTCTATCTATCAACTTGATTCATTTTAATCAAAATAACTGAATTTAGATTGTGCTTGTTGTTGTGAAAAAAATGCATTACTGGGATTTCAGCAGGTACACTTCATGTGTGTATCCTATTAAAATAAATGGCAAAACATCCATTGATTTTAATGGTGCTACCTTATATCTACAGTGTTTAGGATCAGTATATTATGGGGCTGTACAGGCTGCCTGAAAGGGGTGGTAGCAAGCCACCCCTTTGCTCGCCAGATTGGGGCCGTGGCAACCGCATGCGACACTCCTTTTTAGAGCAGCAAAAAGCTGCCCTTGCTGCCACAGCGCCAATTTTTGGTGCTCCTTTTGGTGTGCAGTGTGTAGTTGCTGTGCCACTGGAACACTGCAACACTGCCCGCTGTCTTGTCGGGAGTGCAGCGTGACAGTGACTTGGGGACAGAGTTGAGGCATGTGGCGTGCAGCCACCATGCCCCCACTCCATCCCAATGCCAGCCCTTTTGGCTGGTCTATACAGCTCCTATGTCTTGCTGACCTGAATTAGGCCACATTGTATGGCACACCTCACTACAACCCCATTCCCCAACATAATAACTATAGACCTCTTTTCACTAACATTCATTCCTATATATTTCATTACAGAAGGGGTCTGAAAAATTTCCAGTCTCTGTCTAAAGCTCACACATTTAACATGAAACTTCATTCTCTTAATCTTAGCTACTAACATTCCAGAACTGCAGAGCATTTAGCCCCTAGCTTTAGCCTCAAATCCACACTGTGCTACTAAGGCCTTTAGATGCCCTTGTCTTCTTCAATGAACTGTATGAAGACACTTGGGAGCAAAGGACTCTTAAATGTCTTTAAGAGATATTCTTAAAGTAAATAATGATCTCTGCCAATTAATAACAACAACAACAATAATAATAAAATGTATTTATATCCTGCCCCTTTGCTGAGCAATCAGGGCGGCTTACAGCATTAAAATTAAGGATAAGCTTACAATACAATACAATAAAATCACAGTCCCAAATCCCAAACCCACCCACCCCTTAAAAAATATTAAACAATCATAAATTAAAACATTATTAAATGAATCACACAAGTGCAAGCAGTTAGGATTAACCAATCATTACAATATATCAGCAATGTCATTTTTTCCCAAACAAGATGCTAAATGCTATCATTTTTAGTTTCTTTTGTTAATAGCATGCACAGAATTAAGGAACTGATCATATATACACTAACTCATAATGAAAGATGCTGCCAAGTTTGATAAAGAAATATATTCCAGATACTAGCAACTTATGGATCAAGCAAAGGGGATATCTGACCTGAAGTGAAGAAGAGCCACCTTGGCTGCTCAGTCCATGAACCACTTATGCCTACCAGGTAATCCAGGCATGGGTAACCTTGGCCCAGTTTCAAGCAGTCCTAATATCATGAACCCTTTCAACATTGGGTAGCACAGTTGACAGAGTAAGGGGAAGAAGAAAATGTGGATACAATCCTGCACTGATAGAAATCACACCTATTTTAGGTTCTGTCTCTGCTCATTGTTGCTCTACTTTTGTCCATACACTGCATTATCCTTAGGGAATACAGCCCTCAAGAGCTGAAAGTCCACCACCTACATCAGGGGTAGGCAACCTTTTTTAGCCGGGGGGGGGGAGAATGGCGGCGCCGCAGCCACCATCACACATGTTGCAGGAGTACTGCCCATGCGCAAATGAGTCGCCCCTGCCATTTTGAAAAACAAAATGTTTTGCCAAAATGGCAGCTGCAACACGTTTGCGCATGCGCAATACTCCTGCGCATGTGCAAACGTGTCACAGACGCCATTTTGGAAAACAAAATGGCGGGAGTAATGCACGCGGCTGCACAGCGGCCAAAACTCGTGGCAGTGGTGGTGGCAGGGGTCGGCGGGGGCTGATAAGCGTGGGGCCCTGGGCCGGAACCGGCCCGCAGGCCGTAGGTTGCCGACCCCTGACCTACATTATGCCTCCTATATATGTTAGCATGTGGAATTCCTGTTCCAAAGATCAGCATGTGGAATTCTCCCCCATGAGAATTGTCAACAGGTCACATTGGGGGGAGAAATATATGTAAATAGACAGTTGTAAATATGTGTAAATAGACAGTTGTTCAGTCAGCCTTGAATTTTAAGCTGATTCCAATGGTACTGAACATTACCATTGTTTTATTTTGGAAGTGTCATTAAGCTGCATGAACCTTAATGGTAGCAAAAAGATGGGATACAGATTTTGATAAGTATTTATTTATGGAAGTATTTCTAACCTACCCTAGATCAGATGTCAAGGTGTAGTACAATGAATAAAATAATCTTAACCATTGATGGGCAACTTCAGCAGGTCTCCAGGCCACTTTTAAAGGTAAAGGTATTCCCCATTGACAAGGTTGTCAAGTTGTATCCAACCGGGGGTGGGGGGCTGGGAATCCTCATCTACATTACTAGCCAGAGTTGTCAGAGACTACTCTGTGATCATATGCCCAGCATGATTGCACAGAATGCGGTTTACCTTCCCACCAAAGTGGTACCTATTTATCTACTTGTATTTGAATGCTTTCAAATTGCTAGGTTGGCATAAGCTAGGACTAGTGGCAGGAGCTCACCCCATCATGTAGCATTCAGGCCTCTAACTGCCAACCTGCCGATCTTGCAATCAACAGAGTCAGTGTCTTAACTACTTGAGCAACCACATGCAATAGTAAACTAAAAAAGGGGGGGCTAGGCATACAGAGAGACCTTGCAACCTTTTTAAAGGTCCATTACTGCACCTGGGGGCTCACAGGAACTTCTAGGAGCAGCAATTCACTCCCTCTTATTTGGCAATACAAAATGTCTATCTGGGAATTCTGGAGGCTGCATTTTACTCACTCAAACATTTAAAATATTGTAGAAACCACGTTAAACAATTCACACAATTTAAATTTATCTCTTGTCTTTCTTTCAAACAGCTGAGAGTATTATTTTCATACTAGATTAAAAGAAATGGACCTCAGCCACAATAAGTAGAGCTATAGATGGGCTAACAGAGATCTCAAATATAAGTAGTATTTGCTTAGCAAACTGTCAGCAAAAGGGTTGGGAGGACAAGACGCTTACAACTGACTTCATTCAGTATATTTCAAAAACCATAGCTGTTTCAGTTCTTTGCAGTGAATGGATTACACCAATCAGATGATGAGCTTGCTTTGGTTTTTCTATGACATCCTTCTCACAGAGGTAAGGGAAAGAATCACACTAAA